ATTTGTGCATATACAAATATATATATATATATAAATTTTGTCATTGCAATAAATTTTTGAATGAAATTTACTATCATTTGAATTGTTTCAGCCTAAAAAGAAATAATAAAATCATTTCTTTAGGATTCTTCCAAATTTTCTCAATCAAATTTGGATCAAGAAGAAGAAGAATTTGAAAGACAATTTTTACAATGGGAAAAGCAATTTGAAATGTGGAAAGAACAGAATAAAGATCATCCTGACAGAGAAGCTTATAATCGTTATGAAAAACAATGGCGTGAATGGAGAGAACGGTTATTGAAAAGACGAGATCAAATGCAAAATTTGAGAGTACAAAAAGAACATGATGACGGTAAAAAAAGTAATGGTTTAAATATTAATTTTAGTGAATACATCGGTATAAACTTTTGTTTAGATGTAAAGCAGTCTGTTATTGAGAACAGTCAAAAAAAGGATTCATCATTCAGAAAATGTATAATATGCCAAAACCCTAAATTTTTATTATATAATTTATTAGGCACTTAATATCATTTGGATATTAAATGCCAAATGATTTTTTCATTGAAAGATTTGAGGCTGCTGGATGAACTAAACCTGTTTTGTCTGACTTGAAACAACAAATTGCACACAATCTACCATATTTTATAATACATAAGATGCAAATTTTGTCCAAAAAAAAACTAAAAAGATTACTGTTTATGCAGGTAGTTGTAATCTCCTATAGGCTAATGAATTTCCCAAACAGGCTTTATTAGGCTACAGGTAACCTCTACTTAGTCTACTTTTTTAATAAAAATGTTATTGTTTAATTAAACATATTATTATTACTGTATTTTTATGGATTGTCCGGCATGTTGGTCTATCCAGGGAGACCATGAAATCAGATATTTCTATATGGTAAAAACAGGCATGCTGGTTTAAGTGAAGTTATACATCCCTCTCTAGGGGTTGCATTAAAAATAATACTTTACATCATGTAAAAACAAATGAGTTTTTATTGTAAAACTGTGAAAATGTCAGCATTACATCAAAAACTGCAATTATATGTTTAATTTCTTTATTTTGTCTTCTTTCTAACAATGTAAAATATTCATGGAATGCTGAAAGTGCCCTTTTTTTTATGTTTATTTTATTGTAATTTGATTCAAAAACACATATTAATTAAATTTCAGAAACTTACTGTAAATTATCTCAGTTTATACCTATTAATGTAGGCTTTGTGTGAAATTTGAGAGAAAGGTGTTATTTCTCAGTTTAAGGTAGATTGTCAGTGCAGCCCACACTAACTACTACTACTACTACTATTACTACTAATTCCAATAAGTCATTGATTGTTTTATTGTCTTGTAAATGAAAACTTTCTTCCTAATTTTAAGTCACTCAAATTACAATGTTATTATTTTATTGCATTCTGAAGAATATTTTTAACATTTAATTAACAGCTAGTTTTGTTAGATTGGATTAATTTTATTTTATCGTTGCAGTTTTACTAGCAATGCCAGTAACTGGGGTTTCTGGCATGCTGGTCTCCTCAGTTATATGCAGCATGCCAGTCAATCTACGAAAATACAGTATTATTATTTATAGTAGAATCCTGCAAACATGATTCTTGATAACGCAACATTCCATAAAACTTGTGTTGTTCAAAAAAACATGTAACCTAATTTTTACCACTATAATTTAACACTAGGATCAAATAAGATATCATTCTTTACTAGCAACACTTGATAAAAGCATTAATTCCACATTTTAACAAAGAACATAACTCTTTTTCCATGATGCCACTGAAAACACCACATCATGAATGTCAAAAACATGAATGTATCCACTGAATAACCAATGTTTTTTTAAATTAAAATTTAACTATAAATAGAAATATTCACTATTGGTACATAGTTAATACATATATGAATTTACACATGAAAATTCTGCTATTTAGACTAACATCATTGTTTTCCATAAAACTCGTCACTTTCTCAGTCCACATTAAGTTGAGTTTGCAGGACTCAACTGTATATGCTAAAGCTAAGCAGATTTGTATATAGTCATATAGGATATTTTAATAATTTTCTTCCTGATAAATAAAAGAGTGTATTCTAATTTTACTTTTTAAACTAGAACACAGTAAAAACACTTTGGAGTAAAGTGCCAAGAGTGTGGGATGACTTACATGTACATTACATGTATCCTTCATATAACATGGTAGTTATGTTCCAAAAAAGTACTATGTTATGCAAAGCCATGCTATATATAATAAAGTACTAATGCAAAACATAGGATTATATTTCAAAAGTTAACAAAAATATGCTATTTTTTTTACTAAGAGAAATATGTTTATTAAAACAATTGATAATTTATTTCCAATCAATAATTAACTAAAAATCACAATTAAAAGTACTATATTACGTGTTAATATTAATTTTAGTTAAACAAGGGCATTTTCTTTTTATAAAGCATCATCATCATCATCATAGCATTTTGTTGATCTTGATCAGAAGTATCAGCAACATTTTCATATTTTTTATTTTTATCATAAAAAAATTTTTATGGATGATGAAATAAAAATATGTTATTAATCAAAAAAAAAATCTAATCGAGCACAAGCATTTTGTTGATCTTGATCAGAAGTATCAGCAACATTTTCATATTTTTTATTTTTATCATAAAAAAATTTTTATGGATGATGAAATAAAAATTTGTTATTAATTGAAAATTTGTTCTGGTGGGTCGTGTTTATTCAATTGAGTACTGAGTGATTTTTTTCCAGAATTTCTGTTTGAATACCAAATTGTTCGAGTATTGACAAAAAGACGTATTTTGTTTGTCATTTTTATAAATAAATTAATCATTTGTAGGTAAGTAATAACTATGGTTTAAAAGTCTTTAATAACACTTACCTAAAAATGTTTAAATAAACTTTACTAAATATGAAGATTAATCTATAAAAAAAACACAGTGAGAATCTTAAGGGCTAAAGTCTGAAAGCGACGATAACATCTGGTTGATAGGAAAGTTAGTGTAATTTTTTCTTTCTTGTCTTTATTAATTTTTATTAAAGTAAACTTGATGAAAAGCACAAAGTAATTTGAAAATTTTAATATGCTAAAATTCACGGGCAAATCTGAGAAAACATTCATGCTTGTTTGAATTTTAAAAATATCAAATAACAAAGTTTACACTTAAAAATTGTGAAATTTTGGATGGAGGATTTCCAAAATCGTATTAGAGCAAAACCACAAGTCATGTTGTACAGGGATATCCCCGATTTTCAAACTGTTAGAGCGAAACCATGTTGTATGCGGGATACCTGTACTTTTTCTAAATATTCTGCACTATAATAGGGGTGTATCTTATATGCCATAAAATATGGTATATTATGTCCCAATATATACTACTAAATTTTAGTAGCATAACTGGTAAGTCAGGCCTTACTGTAAAGAAGAATTAAATTGTCTGATTTCAAATTTAGACATTTAGACTTGATTGCTATATGTAAGTGTAGGAGTTTCATAATAATATGAAGTATTGATGATGATATTAGATTCCCAAAAAAAACTAGTCAGAAAAATTCTTGAAAATGATAAATCAATATGGTATTTTTAGCATTTCATATATACACAGCCTTCTTGATTTTCAAATTTAATGTAAAAGTCATTGTTGAGTGTTTTAGTGCCTTTTATCTTAAACTTATTTATAATAAATGTAGTTTATTATCTTTTTTTCTCTTTAATACTTTTTTGCTAATTTATAGGTATAACTTTTGCCCACTTTAGTTTTAACTTTACAGTTAGTTAAAATAACTTTAGTTTTTTTTTTACAGTTTACTAGAAAGACCAATAAAAATTATAAGTAAACTTTAATTTTAAACATTCTTCAACTTTTTATTGAAATTTGTATACTTTCAAGATTTTTACAGTTCTATCTTCTAGCAGTGATCATGTCTTATAAAAAAAAAAACATTTCAAATTGTGTATATGTTTTTTATGCTTGTAATTATATATATTATAGTATAAGTAAAGTGCAAAATGGTTGAAAAATGGAAATTTTATTCTTACAAAATATGATAAAACTTTGTTCTGTGTTCTTTTCATTATATTAAAAAAAAATTTTATAAAATTGTATATTGTGTAAATATATTGAAATATATTAAAAGTTTTAAAGTGATATCAAAACAATGTTTAAGAAACCAAATATATTTAATTTGATTGCAAATGAGAATTGACAAAACAAAAATTAATCAGGGGTGTTAGTAGTAAAGATGATTACGAAAAAATAAATACAGTAATACCTCGACTTATGCTACTCCGAATTATGCGAACCAGAGCTACGTGATTTTCAGATCTCGTCGATTCATCTTTTGTTTCAGCGCCATGCAACTCTCGATTACTCACTTCCCCCACACTATTGTTCAGCTTACATGTTTGGACATGTCACACGGAATCAACACATAGCTACAATTTATTTTGTGTTGTTTATTTCTGTGTTTGTTATATCTACAGAGACTTGAGAGACTCTATGTGGTGTTTTCTTGTAACCGTGAATGAATCAAAAGATAAGATTAATGAGAACATTTATTAGCTTACATACATCTGACTTGGATTTTACACAAATTGCGAAATTATACCCCAACTTACATGAATTCGACTTACGCGGTTATTGCTCAGTCCCACCTATCGCATAAGTTTGAGGTATTACTGTATTGATAGATTCATGTTATCAGGTTCAGCAATTTGAGATTTTGAAAGTTATTACGGCGAGGAAAAGGTTACTTTAATTCTTAATTTTTCAAAAAGTACTTTACAAGGAAATGAAGTGCCAGAAACAAATAAAGCACAGCAATTTAACAAAATTGTTCTTTAAACTAAAAGATTAATGTTACTGTTTTTCACAAATTTTTTTAATACAGTACAATTAGTTGATTGATTTACTTAGAAAAATTTTATTTAAGTGAATTATACTTTTTATATAATGATTAATGAATATTTATATATTTCAGAACAAGATAATACTTCTACTTCTCTTCCAAAAAATGTGAATGATAGTCCTGTTTCACAAAAAAAGGACAGTCTGTTGTCATTGCCAAAAGGAAAGTTTGAAATGGGACAATCTCCTGCATCAGTACATTCTGCATCTTATCCAGGATCTGAAAAGCCTTCAGCTGATACAGCAATTAAATCATTATCTATTTTGGAAGATAAATCTGAAGAATTGGATAAATCTGTAAAAAAGGTTACCTAATAATTATAAATTATAATGAATTTTTATAAAAATAATGCGTATAATAATTTTTTGAATTTATTTAATGAAATGATACCTTTCATTTTGTACTTGTAAAAGTTTATAGGTTTAAATTGCTTATATGTAATTATAAAGTAAATTTATTCTACCATTGTATATAATCAGTTATGTAGGATTATATTATTAAAATGTTTTCAGTTTTTCCTATTAACTTCACTAAGCTATTAGTTAATATATATGTAGGTTGGTGCAATTTATTAAAAAAAATATGAAAAATTATATATATGGATGGGTTATATATAGATTATGGATTTGTGAGAAAGGCACTTTCCATAATTAAAAGAGTGTTTACATTTTAGGATCAATTTTTACTGTCATTCAGTCATTCATACAGTTTATCAACTGTATATTAATTACGTAATTCTTTTCATCCGATGGTCCTTTTAATTTTTTGAAGAATTTGAAGACTAAGTTCACCCAATTTGGGAACACCATTTATTAGGTTGCGTTTTAGACAATACATTCCTGGCGACCAACCTTCCTTTCTAGGCTACTAGCCGCCAAAAAAACTAAAAAAGTCCTTTTAAAACACAAAAATTTCCAATTAAAAATACAAAGATTTTCTTAAAATAGGAACTGGTGACTTGTATATTAATTAATTATTTTTTAATATTATTTTATCGTTTTGTATATTTAGCATATATTATATATATATACAGCAGAGTGTTGCAAGATAAATTTAACTATTATATTTTTGTGTGTAATTTTTAGTTTAGAAAAATTTTTATAAGCATTGTCTATCTTTTAAATGATAGTAGTTGTCATCATATTCTAAGTATCTAATTAAATAAAGGTTAAGTAAAGTAGCTTTTATGGTAATAATGATTTTTACTTTAAAATTATTTTAGTCAAATTGCTTATTTTCTATTAGAAAGTTATCCTTTAACATCTATTTATTGCAAAAATAGAAACAGTTTGATCATATTATGAATTTTAATTAGACACTCAAAGTGTAATATATTATCTTATATTTGATACCATAATAATTTTTCCATGTGTTTATGGAAAAATTATTGGGCTGCAAAATTGTAGACTATAAATTTCCGCTGTCTTCCCTTATCTATCTGTCCTTCCTTAATCTCGAGAAAGGAGTTAGATAGATGAAAGTCAAGACCAGATATGGAAAGCTTAGGGCAGGAGGCTCAGATTAACTATATACAAACTTCTGGTTTAGAATGGAATGTTACTTTGATTCAAAATATTTCCCCAAACAGAGTTAGATATATGACTGACATGACTTTATTGCTAACTGGAAAAGTATGATGTACGTGGGCAAAACTACTAAAAGAATTGAGAACATTGTGATGAAAATTTGCAACCTGGCATTATGATAATGTCACAATAAATAATTGCACATTAGAATTAGGTTTATTTGGTTACGGCAATGCAACATGTGAGTGATCTGCCAAGGAGGATGCATCCCAGAAAGATGTTTATGTAAAGTTGGCCCCAATTGAAATGTTACTAATGTGAAGAAAACCCAGAAAAACTCCACTTTGCCAATCTGTTGGCCATGCACGAATCCACAACTGACTAATGGTGTTAAGTGGTTTTATCCACTCGGTTACTGGAGGATACTTATTGGACTGTAATTTGAAAAAACTGTTGAGCTATAAATTTCCAGTTGTTCGTCCATCTCTGACCTTCCTTAATCTTAAGAATGCAGTTAGATAGATGAAAGTTGAGACCAGACATGGAAATTGTAAGAGAAAAAGACCAAATTACCTATATATGAACTTCTGATTTGTACTGCAAATCATGTTATTTCAATACAAAAATTTTTTTCTGAACAGAGTTAGATAGATAACTGGCAAGACTCTATTGCTAACAGGAAAAGTATGATGTACAGGGGCAAAACACTCCAAGCAAGCAAGTGCTATGTGCTATCTGTTGCAGTAATGGCTTAATGGTGCATCTATTTTGTGCTATATCATTGTTGCAGTAATTCAGTGAATATAATATATATTTTTTAAAATTATATCTTTTTTTTTGTAAGAATTATGTTTCATTAATTATTTTCTTGACTTTTTTTGCGAATAGATGGTACTATGTGTAACTCAGTGACTGTAAATAAAAATTAATTGATTTATAGAAATGTAATTGATATTTTGAGGTAGAATACATGACATGATCTAAGATAGAAGTATTTGAGCATAACTATCGAGTTTCGTAGCAATTAGTTGAATGGCGTAGGAGTGAGTGTATAGTGAACAAACAAACAAACATCCTCATTTATATATATAGATTTCAGGAAGACACTTTTCTGGTCCTTTTCAGATAAAAACATTTTTTGATTCAAAGAATTTTGTGAAAATAATTCTGTATGAATTTTAGAAACATAATAAATGTCTCATCCAAATGAAGCATATTGATAGTTATATAAATAATTTAACATTGAAACTTATTTGATATACAACTTGCTAAAAAATTAAAATTATATAATCATATCATAATTACTTTCAATAAATCATTCATATCACAATACAGCAACTATAAAAAAATTTGTTGTTACAATCTTTTCTAATTTTATATTAAAATGTTAAATAAACTTGAACATATAATGAACTATAACTATTATGTACAGAAAGATTACAAAACACAAAGAATTAACGCTATATAAAATGAATTGAGTATAAAAATAAGGTAATAAATTGAATATTCAAAACTTTGTTGGATATGATTCAACAGTACATTTGTCCATATGTGCCTAGGGAGATATGAAATCTCTAAATTTTTAAATTTTATCAAGTCCACAATATCTTATATCTTTTTTGTCTTGAAAAGTCTGAGTAAAGTAAGAAAATAAACTTAATTAGTAATTTAGTAATTAAAATATAAAAATGTAGTCTATGGAAAAACAAATCTTGCATTTTTTTTTTTTTTCAATCAAATAATTATTTGTGTTCGTTCACTATGTTATAAAGAAGAAACATTATCTTGCTAACATATACATTTATAGATGGCAGCAAAAATGAGAATTATAAATTAATGATTAATTTCTTTTAGGAAAAATCTAATCAAATTGAAGACATAACCATAAATGAATGGAATCATGGACGTGGTAATGAAAGAGGACAGCGAGGAGGAAGGGGTAGAGGAAGAGGCAGAGGTCGAGGAACTGGAAGGGTAATATTGATTTTTATGTAAATGAAGATTAAATATGATATACAGTAGAATATGTATACTTTAAATGTACAATTTTTTTATTAAAATTATTATTTCTTAGTGTAATCATTTTGCATGGATGATTGCAAATTTCAAAAGAGGAAATTTTTTTATGTTATCTGCAATGATGATGATAACTAAAATCAAGTGGTATCAGATGTTGATAAGTTTATGTAACCTAATCAAATGAAAAAGCTTATTTTACAGTTCATCCTGCATTTTCAGTTATCAAAATGCACACATATAAACAGAGTTAATAAACTGTAGTAATAATTTAGATATCACTTTTGTACAAAATATAATACTAATGTAGAAACATTATATTCATTTAGCAGAAGTCTGAGTTAGATTTGAATCAGTCTTTTGTATTGTCATATTTCTACCACTCAAGTTACTTGAATGCACTTCTTTTCTAATGGGAATTTTATCTTAAGAATAGTTTTTTCATAATTTGATGTTAAGAAATTAAATAAAAATTATAATATACAGTGGAACCTCAATATACGACCTTAATCGGTTCCTGATGTTTGTACTTATACCGAATAGGACGTATACCAAACCAACATTTCCCATAAGAAGTAATGTACAAATGATTAATCCATTTTTATGTAAAAAGAAATGTCTGGCTTTAAACACCTTGCTTTCCTGGCTAGTTCCTGCTTGATTTTTCATGAGATCAGCATGTATCTTTTTAGCTTTCTCGCAAATAATTGCTTCTGATACGCTGTCTCCAGCACATTGTTTTTCAGTTATCCAAAGCAAAAGCAATTTTTCAACATGATCTAATGTCTTCAATCTCTGTTTAGAAATTGATTTAACCTCTTTCGCAACGTTAGCAGATTTAATAATGACTTTATTTTTCACGATTGTCGATATCATCATTCTTGGAATACAGTATGCAACAGTTAAAATTTCAAACACGCATGCCACCTTCATATTTCTCAACAATCTCTTTTTTCAGTTCCGTTGTGATTCTAGTCATTTTTTTAGTTTTCTGTTGCTTTTCACTTGCCTTTTTGCAATTCATGATTAATAAAAATAATAAAATTTTACTTACAAATTAAAATCAGAAGAAATTTATAAAACGTGGCACTGCGAATGTCTAATCTAATACACCAATAGTGCTACTTTTTCATAGATGGTGCGTATAATTGAATTAAGTCATATACTTAGCAAAATTTGTTTTGTCCAAACAGGACATATTCCAAATTGGACATATTCTAAAGCAGACATATACCGAGGTACTACTGTATTTACTTATAACACTCTTTTTATAGTTAAATAAATTATAGAAATTTAAAAAATATTTTAATGGAATTTTTATGGTAAAAATTTAATAACAATAATCCTAGATTTTTTAATCAGTTTCCTTTCTCTGATATTTTTTATGTACACCTCATAGAACAGATACATCAACATACACAAACACTAGATTATACACAAAATCATACTTATTGTTAGTACTTCAACAGTACTCAATGTTCACTCATGAAAACAGTATATACAGTATAACATGCATCATGAAAAGATAAACACAACAATTACAACTAGTAATATTATAGATACAGAATTAACACAAATTATTTCAATAAACACTCAGTAAATATAGAAGCTTAGCTCACACACAGAGATCATGAATATCCAAATACACATCAAAACAAGGGGAAGAAACTCCATACTACGTAAATACAGACATTACCAAAACAAATTCAACTAGAATCAGTGCTTTCAGACATATGTATTTTAGTTTATTTTGGCACACTTACTGTAGTTACATATCGTGGTCTTAAACTACAGTCATAAACAGACAGGCAAATCATAACCTGACTGGCGAAGACTAGATACACAAATATGTAACATTAGACAGAAATTAGGTAGATTGATATACAATGCACTAAAAACAACATAACACCTAATGTAATGAAAGACATTAAGAAAATATTCAGAAAAATTAAAACATTCACATAGTACACAGTACACAAAAGTCTCAAAACATTAGGACTTCACAAAAGTAAGATACAAGGTAAGATCCTAAAATTCAAGGACTTTTTATATAGTTCCTTGTCTTGAATAATTTAAAACACTGACACACAATCAACCTCCAAAATAACCCCCTTTGGCAATGATACCTATTTGCCAGCAATTGTATTTGGAAGCATTGCTGTAGATCATCTTTTGCAGTCACCCATAATGCCTCCTGCAATGCTCTTACTTCATTCAGAATTTATTCTTGAGGGCAGAACAGTCAACAAGAAGTATTATCTGGACATTTTACATCATTTGATTTGTGTGTCTCTCCATTGTAAATGGCTGAGATATGATGGAAAATGGTCCTTTTCCCATGACAACACATCTGCACATCAGTCCATAATGGTTACAGAGTTTCTTACTGGAAATGTTACCAATGTGCTTCTGCATCCCGTCTTTTCATCTGACTTAGCCTTTGCAATTTTTACCTTTTTTCACTGATGAAACATCTGCAGGAATGCCATTTTGAGTCAAGAAATGAGATAAAAGCAGCATTGCAAGAGATATTACAGGTGATTGCAAAAGTGGCATACAACAATGCTTTCAGAAGCTGTAGGAGAACTGGCAAAAGTTTATTATTGCCCAAGGAGATTATTTTGAAGGTGGTTGTGCATTTGTGTTTTAAACTATTCAAGTTAAGGAACTATATGTCAAATTCCCAAATTTTTAATTTTACTCTGTATATTATGATACAGAAGGCTGCATACTAAACACATATCACGTAGTCAGGAAAGTCTTACCATAGATACATATGTTGTGTAAGAAACATTCCAAGAACACAATTACTGTTTTTCTTTTTTTTTTTTTTTATTATTTTATGCAGAGATATTATATTGGGTTGTTCGGAAAGTAATTTCATTTTTTTTACCACTAGACGAATTAGTTGTATTTTTCCCGCCATTTTCATTCTAAACTATATTATCATTATATATTTTGACAGCTAGCATTTTAAGGCTTATTTGTAAAAAGTTTTGTTTGATTTTGGGCAATTGTTTATTTTTTTGTGTCCCATCAAATATGGAAGATCGAAAGTAGCATTTTTGGCATATTTTGCTCTTTTATTACCGAAAAGGTAAGAATGCTGTTCAAGCGAGAAAAAAATTGTGTGATGTATATGGAGAAGATGTATTGACAGAACGACAGTGCCAAAACTGGTTTACAAAATTTCGTTCTGGCAATTTCAATATTGAAGATGCACCACGTTCTGGATGGCCAGTTGAAGCCAATGAAAACAAAATAAAGGTACTGATTGAAGCAAACTGCCGAATAACAACACGTGAAATCACTAAGAGATTAAATTTGTCAAATTGAACTGTTTATGATTACTTGAAACAAATTGGTTTCGTTTCAAAGCTTGATATATGGGTTCCACATGTTCTTAAAGAGAGATGCTCTCTTTGGTGGGATTTTAAGGAAATTTTTTTTTGGAGCTTTTACCAGACAATTTAACAATTGATTCGAAAGTGTACTGCCATCGAGTAAACAAATTGAGTAATATCATCAAACAGAAAAGGCGGCCAGAATTGATCAACAAAACAGGTGTAGTGTTTTACCACGATAATGTCAAATTTCACACAAGTTTGGTAACTCGTCAGAAACTGTTATAACTTAGATGGGACATGCTATCACACCAACCGTATTCACCAGATCGAGCAAACTCAGATTATTACTTGTTCTGGTCAATACAAGTTTTTTTTAATTGTGAGATATTTACTTGCAATGACAATGTCAAAAATTATTTGGATCAGTTTTTTGTAAGCAACAATCAAAACTTTTATGAATGTGAAATCATGCTATTACCAGAAATGACAACAGGTATTTTACCAAAATGATCGATATATAATTCAACAAAATATTTATTTATTATAAAAATATTGTTTTTTTCACGGAAAAAACGAAATTACTTTCCAAACAACCCAGTATTTATAATCTTTTATAATAAATATAAATTTAAAAATCCACCAGTTATCTTTTGTTTTAAAAATTTTACATAGTTTTAGTGCTATTTTTATTATTACTTGAATTTCAGTATATTTATTTAAATAAGCACATATTGTTTATATTTTTGTATTTAGAAAATAAATTTACTGTTTAAAATTATTTAATTTTAACATAAGCATATTTATTATTTTAGGGACTTGACGGAAAAGATGATGGAAGTTGGAAAGAAACCGAACAAGAAGGAAATTTTCATAGAAATGATGATATGTTTGAAGAAGAAAGGTAATTGCTTCTTGAAAATGTTATAATCAACAGTTATTTGATAAATATGAAATAAATTTCTCTGAATAAATATTTGTTTTTTTTTGCAAGTTATATATTACCTGAAATTTGAACATCAAATCCTCAAATCAATAAAATTTAAATTCTGTTTATATTTCAATAAAAATATTTTTATATTTATATATTAGTTAAGAAATATGTTGATTGAGTTGTTTATGAGACAAGAAAATACACAATAAAATATACAGAATTAAAATGGGTCAAGAAAATGGTTTTAAAAATTATAGGTTGGCAATCAACATGTTAACAATGTGTCAGAAATTAAAAAGTTTAGTTTGGATATTTTTTTAAATATCTTAGTGATAGTCTTCAAATATAAATAATGAAAAACAAGATGGAAAATATGAAATGTGATTCATTTAAGTAAATCAAACATCACAAAGCCTGATATGTATATAGAAACATAACCAAACAATTGCCTTAAATAATTGGGCTATAACTTTACTAATTTAATGATTAATACTAAGTAATTTGCTACTAGAGATAGATATTAGGTGCATCTCTTAACTAAATTAATAATTATAACTTTAATACTTTATTAAATAATTTAGAATCATCTGGAAGGAAAGAACTGACCAGGAGCAGGGCTTGAACCTGCAACCACTGGTTGCCGTGCATTGTGCTTGCCAGATGCACCACCCAGGCCCAGAGCTCACCTTCGCTTTTAAATGTATTTAAATTTAGATATAACTTTATACAATTGATCAGGGTGCCAGCTTGAGATGACTTCTATACCCACAGTCTAAGTACAACTCCACAATGGCACTCAGCCAGCTGTTTTACTCGATAAGGTGTGTATATATTTTTATAGAAATGAATATATATATATATATATCAATATATATACATATCAAGTAAAATGTTAGCTGGCTAAGTGATGTTGTGGAGTTGTACTTAGGCCGTGGGCATAGAAGTTGTCCCAGCCAGTGCACTGATCAACCACGTAAGCTTATATTTAAATTTAAATGCACCTGGTTGTGAAGGCTAGCTCTGGGCCTGGGTGGTGCATCTGGCAAGTGCACATCACAGCAAGCAGAGGTTGCGGGTTCAAGCCCTGCCCCAGGTCAGTTCTTTCCTTCTAGATGATTCTAAATTATTTAATAAATTATTAAAGTTATAATTATTAATTTAGTTAAGAGATAGTGCCTAACATCTACCTCTAGTAGCAAATTACTTAGTATTAATCAATAAGAGATAGTATTAAACCTCCCAGAGATGGTTTAGTAACTCTTCTTTACATCTCTGGGATCTGAATGCCCACCCATGTGTTTGCCATGTATGGTGTCCCGTATGCTGTGAAGGAGGATTCTGGTAGTTGAGGGGCAATATAACATTCCCAACACACTGCTTTGGTCTCTGCTTTGGATAAACAGGAGGCTCAAATCAGACTCCATTTGAGTCACTCGGCTGGTCGTTGAGTTCATTGGACCTCAGCTCTGAGTCAACTGATCGATGCAGACTGGGTGGACATGTCCCTGCTTGACAACCTTGTCATGTCAAACAAGATATGCTCTTCTTGACTGCATTGTTGAGGGTAAAGCTTCTGGGAAACCCTTGTGTGACGGTCTATGGGAATCTCCCATGTGACGGCATTCCCTTGTTGGGCCCTGTGGTGGGTGGAGTCACTGGGAGCTGAATAATAATTTTCTCAATATGGATTCTAAAAATACAAAGTGTCCATGCACAAACAAATCACCTTCAGTCAAAGCCAGCATTTCCAGTTCCGCAGCCTAATTGATAGTGCATGCAACTGGAGAAAAACCATTATCAAAATGCTCTTCTGATTCAAAAACTATTTGAATCAACTATTGGACACCCAAAGAAGGTTCAAAACTTAAGATATGGAGACCTTTTAATTGAAGTTACCTCAACTCAGCAATCTGTGAAGCTTTTGGCAATAAAAACTTTGGGAAATAGTGATATTACTGTCTCACCACATAGGAGTTTAAACTCATCACTTGGTGTGATATCTGAAATAGATCTGATATCTGAAGATGAATCATATTCAAATTGGACTGTCAGATTAAGATGTCACTGTCATTCAATGCATCTCCATTCATTGAGATGGCAAGTTGATACCAATAAAACATCTTATACTCACCTTTAATAAACTGACATTGTCACCTTCTGTTTCTGCAGAATACCTACATTATCCAGTTTGCCCATATGTTCCAAATCCACCATGGTGCTTCAAATGCCAGCATTTTGGACATTCAAAAGCATCTTGTCATGGTAAAAGTGTACGTGTACACTGTGGAAATGAAGATCATGAAAATACTGACTGTACTGCTACTCCAAACTGTGTGAACTGCAAAGGTGCCCATCATATCTACTCCCCAAAGTTCCCAACATGGCAACGAGAGAAATAGATTCAATGGGTGAAAACTACAAAGAATTTACCTTATGCAGAGGCATATCATATGGTTACATTAAATGAACCAATGAAACATATGTTGCAGTTCTGAAATCCACAAAAACATGTGGAGTTCAAACTGATACAGTCAACCCCCTATAACACTGTTGATAATTCCATTTTATATGAATTCCATGTTGTATGAGTCACTTAGATTTTACAAATACGTGTGCCAGGCTGTGAATGGCTCATGTATTTGTAAAATCTAAATGATTCGTACAACATGGAATTCATATAAAACGGAATTATCAACAGTTTTATAGGGGGTTGACTGTATTTCAGTTCACCCAAATGAATCTCTCACTCCTGTTCAAAGCCCGTATAAGGATGCTTATGAACCTCCACTATCACTCAGGAGAGAACAGTTGTCTCTCTTCTATTGCCTTAAACTGAAATCCCAGACTAAACCTTCAATTTATTCTACAGTATCAGATATCCAGCTGAAAAATTATTTGCAACCCACCCATTTAGTGTCCCTACATTTGACATAAGAATGGAGAGAGTAAGCAGCACGATTAAACTGGACAGAAGCAACATTCCACAGCTCGAGGTTGATAGTATATCACCTTGGTCAACTTCTGTGATAAAAGTAAGCTTAAAGCACTTTCCTAAGGAATCCACTCCAGACTGTGTGTATAGACAGCACTTTGCAGAAATCTAACACAGTCACAGGAATTTAATTCCTATTTACACTGATGGATCTAAATCGGATAACTACATTGGCTCAGTCTTCGTCTGCCAGTATGAAATTGGGGCAGGATAAATATCACCAAATTCTTCCATCTTCACTACAGAGCTACAGACAAGTATCCACTTAGCCTTAAAGTATATAAATAGCAAAGATCATTGTTGCTCATGATTTACAATGACTGTTAGTGCACTTCAGGCTTTCATCTCATCTGAACCTAGTTCTCACTGCATAGTGATTAAAATTCATAAATTTATTTGCCATCTTTCAGCATGCATTTCTCTATAAAATTTTGTTGGGTCCCAGGCCATGTAGATATAAGAGGGAATGAACAAGCTGAATCATCTGCAAAGTCAACAACTTCTTTACAGCATGCAATGCCTATTAAAGGACTTGAAGCTAGTAATTAAAAAACAAATAGCAAAGAGATGTCAAAACATGTGGAACACACAAGTCCACAATAAACTACACAAGATCAAATGTCTGGTAGAAAATTGGACACATAATAAGGTTTATGAAAGGAGATCTGAACTAATCCTTACCCACCTGAGGATTGGACATACTTGACTGACTCATCAATACTTTTTGAAGGGTGATGACCAACCAGTATGCCACTATTGCAACTGTACTGTAAGTGTTAAACACATACTGTGTGAATGCCCTGAATTTGAGGGTGCTGGTACAAGTCATTTTGGAAATGGAAGCTTGTTGAGAATTTTGAGCCACATCTTGACAAACTACTGAACTTTTTGAAAGTCATTAATTGTTACAAAGAGATTTGATTAATTATTTATTTATTGTAGTATAGATCCTGGAAATTTTTGTCATTGTTGTTCTGATAGTTAAATCATTACATTTTATACATATATTTATTTATTCCATGTACAAACTATACTATGTGTCATGGCGCAGTGTACCCTTTATGGCTCTTGTGCCAATAAACCCTAATAAATCAACCAACCATATCTCATCATAACTTAAATTTTTAGCACCAATCTTGCACAAGTCTTTTTCATTTTTAGTTCTTTGTCTGTATTCTCCAACATTGATTTTTTGACATGTTAATTTCTCTGCAATCATTCTGACACTGAAATGTCTATCAGTGTGCACAAGGGTCCATTCTTTCTGAATATTTTCAGATGTCCACAATGCTCATTGTCTCTGATATTCTCTCTGCCCTCCTTGAAGTGTCTCTATCATTTGAATGCTTTCAATTTTGACATTATCTCATTCACACATGCATGTTTTATTATTTTGTAGGATTATTTGCATGCTTTGTCTAGTTTCATACAGAATTTCAGATTGATTTGATGTTTCAGAAGTCACTCAGTTTTTCTGCCAATGTGTTGCTGTACTTTCAAACTTGATAAAGTGTCACTTCTCACTAGATGCTATAGAATTATTAAAAAACATATGGCAAAGATGTGAGGTTCATAACAGTAGAATAACAAGTACAAAATTATTTCGTTTTTGAGGTAAAAAATCAGTTCAAAAACTTTTGGAAAATACCTTAAAAATATATTGTATTTAAACACTTTGCAACTTAGGGGGTTTTTCAACTTACATAAAAATCATCTGAGAAAATTAGCTGCATAAGTTGAAGACTATAAAAGTTTTAGGTTTGAGTTTTGTTTATATTTTTGAAAAACATATACTATTTACTAAATTATGCGGTGAACAGACTAAATAATGTGCACACACACACATGCACGCACGCATGCACACGCACGCAGGTGTGTATGTGTAATATATGTTAATGTATTAAAATAGTGTATAATTGTAATATTTTAAAAATAGGTATCCACCAATTCATGATTATTTTGATCAACAAGGATTTACACAGTCATCAGATAAAGCCTCACTGCTATCTGAGACTAATTATGGCTTAAGAAACCAGAGAGATTTTACTGAAGATATAAATTTCAGGTAAATGAAATGTGAATTTTTATTTTATATTTAAATAAAAACTAAAAATATAGTGTTACTTTAAATACAGTATATTTAATATATTTTTTACAGAACATTTGAATTTTTCTATTTACTTTTTAAAATGAATAATAAAAAGGTTTAATAATTAATTTTTATTGTAATTCTTTATTCCCACAATTTATTCACAATTGGTATTTATTTTTATGTTATGATGTTTACAGTGCTTAATTAATTATGAAATATAAGATATCATTATAAATTTTTGAGTTTAGTACTGTAAATTCCTTTGAATGACCCATAGAGTATCTGTGTTTAAAAAGCTAATTTGAAAACACATGAGGGTTATGTAATGATTTTGATTATCTGCTGATTTTTATTTGCAATTATGAATGTGTCCAACAAGTTTTCTTATGTCTAAAGTTGCCAAGTAAATCTTTAAAAACATGAAAAATCCATTACCTACTACAAACATATTTATCTGCCATCATGATTTTTTTTTCTGAAACCATTGAAGATGATGTATATATGCCTTATCTTTAGTATTTCTCCTTCTCCATTTTCTGTATGTTAATCCATCATTTGATATTAGACATTCAACTTGTATCTTGAAAGATTATATTTAATGTTTGTTGTAACTAACTTAATAGGACAATCACAACAGTCTTTTTCAATACAAATAATAAACAATACAAATAATTCATGTCCAAACAATATCATCAAATAATTCACTTCCAAACAATACAAATAATCATGATAATAAATAGTTACTTTGGTTTTATGTTATAAATTCTTTTAACACATAAAGGATATCAGATATTTTAAATGTTATTTAGCTTCTTTTTAAAATGTTTAACATTAGCTTGAGTTTTAATTTCAGATAGCAGATTAATCTAAAATTTTTCAATATTGTATACAACAGATGTTTGATTAATTAATAGTGAAACAATATAGAAAAATTTCTCTCTTGTCTACAAGAACACATGATTGAGTAACAACATTCATTAATATTAATACTTACTGCCACTTAACAGAGCATTGGATAAGGAAGTTGTTCGCTTAAGAGAACATCTTGCCATGTTTCCAATTTTCTCTCCTATGTTTTACATTAGCAGGACTCCTGTTAACAGAGCACGAACAGTCTGTTTAAATGAGCACAGTATTTTTAGAGCAAAATTTTGCATAAGGGAGCACTACTCTTAAAGATTTAAGGGACTGTAATCTTACTGTACATGGGCACATGGTGACAGACCTCTCTACTCTACTATTTTGGTATTTGTTGAGATTTTGTGAAGCCATCCATTAGTTAATCTATATATATATAAATGAGAATGTTTGGATGTTTGTTTGCTATACACGCCTAGGCCGTTTGACCAATTGCTATGAAACTCGGCAATTACATTTATATACTACTAACTTAGATAATGTCAAACATCACACTCCAAAATATCTATTGGATTTCTGAAAATCAATTAATTTCTATCTTCATTTGATTTGCTGGTTTACACATAGTACCATCTATTGGCAAAAAATTTAACAAAATAATAAACTAAATATAATTTTTATTAAAAAAGTATATAACTTTAAAATGTATATACAGTAAGACACTGCTTAACACTGATTCGATATAATGCGGTCTGCTTGAAGCCTAAAAAAGCTCAAAATTTATGCTGATTCAAATTATCATGGCATTTCATTGATTTGTATATAATATGATTATTTCCAAACACAAACCAATTGGCAAAAGGTGGCAATTCATCGTAATGCTATATTTTCCTTAAATCTATGTTTGTTTTGTGCAATTTTGGAAATAATATAACATCATGGATGCCATAGGCAATATTGACTTTACTTGGCAAGAATTAAGTGATGAATACATGAACGGAGTGTGGGAAAAGTTATGGCTGGAGGTATCAAGAATTCTCAACAAGAAGAGCCTATCATTGACCAAATTGTCAACCTAATCAATACAGCAGGACTAGGAGATGTAGACGAGCAGGATAGTGAGGAGTTACTGCAGGTTTCTGGTGAGAGCCTTACCAATGATGACCTTCAAGAACTGGCAGAACAAAGAATTCATGTAGAACTGGAAAATAGTGATTCTGAAAAAGAAGAACTCAAAGAAATTCTTTCAGATTTCTTTAGTAAAAGTTTGGTAATGATAACTGAAATCGTTGATCAAATTGTAGCGAATGATCCAGATTTTGAAAAGAGTGCAAAAGCAAGAAGAGGCGTTTTGGATGTGATCTCCTTCTACCAACATTTGCTTAAGGAAAGAAAAAGAAAGCAACAAATGAAACCACATGACTTTATTGCAAAAAACAAGAATTTCAGAAAAGCCAGGACCTTTGTCACAAAAACTAAACTTTACATTTCTGTGTGCATATGTTTGTGTGTTATTTAACATATATTATTATGCAAATTAATATAAAAATAACTCAAAATTAAAATAAAATTGTTTATTTTTGGTTGTGTGTTTCCCCTTTTCCTATTTACTCTGTGTTAAAATGACCTTGTTTAACACTGTTTCATTTAGCACTTTGTCATCTAGCAACATACCCTTCGCATTAAGCGGGGTCTTACCATATTATATTCACTTAATTAATGCAACAACGATATAGTGCAAAATAGACACTCTATATAATTACTGCTACAGATAGCATATAGCACTTGCCTACATGCAATCAAAAGTGTTACCCTGTGAAAAACCTATAAGTATTTAATTTTTTCTTTTCTGAATGGGTTTCCAACTCAGGTTTTTTAATTTTTGAACAGTACTTTCTTAATTCTATTAAGTTCCCTCCAGTAGCTGAGTACATAAAACCACCAAACTCTGGTAGTTAGTTAGTTGTGGGTTCTCGGGAGTGGAGTTTTCCAGGTTTTCTTCACTTAAATAGGATCCAGCTTCCCATAAAAGATTTCTTGGGATGCATCCCCTGGCAGATCACTCAAGTGTTGTGTTGCTGTAACCAAATAAACCAAACTTCCGTATTTACTCGCATATAAGACGAGGTTTTTATTAATTTTTTATTGCTCCAAAACCATGGGCGCGAATGAAGGATTCTTTGCACTTTTGCAATAATTTTTGTAAACCTTATGTTTATATTTTTTACCAGATGCTCACCATCTGATGTTTAAAAACAAAAGTATTTTATCTGGGTCATTTCAATCATTCTTGTGTATTGTCAGGAGTAAAGATGAATAGCAAATGGAAAAGCAAAGCTTTTGAATTGAATTCAAGATTGAAATTCCAAAATCACACAGGAGCATGATATAAGTTTTAATCCATTTGCACATGAAAACAGATGATTATTCAGAAATCAGAATTCAAAGAAACTCATAAGTGTAATCGACGGAGTGGATTCAACTGTTAAGAATTGGCAAAGAAGGTTCTTGTTTAGCAATACATTAACATTACATCGGTGTAGTTTATTCTTCAACTTATTCTACTTCCAGTACGTATTTATTATATATTACATTAACAAATTATGTTGTCGATTTTATAAGATTTTTCCTTAAAGTTTAAAATGCCAGTAATTTTTGCGGGACAATGTGTGCATTTATGTGCATTTGACATTTTATTTGTGAATAAACAAAATAAAATTAAATTGTATTAATAAATCTAATTATCTTTATTTTGATCTTTNAATTTTAACATAAGCATATTTATTATTTTAGGGACTTGACGGAAAAGATGATGGAAGTTGGAAAGAAACCGAACAAGAAGGAAATTTTCATAGAAATGATGATATGTTTGAAGAAGAAAGGTAATTGCTTCTTGAAAATGTTATAATCAACAGTTATTTGATAAATATGAAATAAATTTCTCTGAATAAATATTTGTTTTTTTTTGCAAGTTATATATTACCTGAAATTTGAACATCAAATCCTCAAATCAATAAAATTTAAATTCTGTTTATATTTCAATAAAAATATTTTTATATTTATATATTAGTTAAGAAATATGTTGATTGAGTTGTTTATGAGACAAGAAAATACACAATAAAATATACAGAATTAAAATGGGTCAAGAAAATGGTTTTAAAAATTATAGGTTGGCAATCAACATGTTAACAATGTGTCAGAAATTAAAAAGTTTAGTTTGGATATTTTTTTAAATATCTTAGTGATAGTCTTCAAATATAAATAATGAAAAACAAGATGGAAAATATGAAATGTGATTCATTTAAGTAAATCAAACATCACAAAGCCTGATATGTATATAGAAACATAACCAAACAATTGCCTTAAATAATTGGGCTATAACTTTACTAATTTAATGATTAATACTAAGTAATTTGCTACTAGAGATAGATATTAGGTGCATCTCTTAACTAAATTAATAATTATAACTTTAATACTTTATTAAATAATTTAGAATCATCTGGAAGGAAAGAACTGACCAGGAGCAGGGCTTGAACCTGCAACCACTGGTTGCCGTGCATTGTGCTTGCCAGATGCACCACCCAGGCCCAGAGCTCACCTTCGCTTTTAAATGTATTTAAATTTAGATATAACTTTATACAATTGATCAGGGTGCCAGCTTGAGATGACTTCTATACCCACAGTCTAAGTACAACTCCACAATGGCACTCAGCCAGCTGTTTTACTCGATAAGGTGTGTATATATTTTTATAGAAATGAATATATATATATATATATCAATATATATACATATCAAGTAAAATGTTAGCTGGCTAAGTGATGTTGTGGAGTTGTACTTAGGTCGTGGGCATAGAAGTTGTCCCAGCCAGTGCACTGATCAACCACGTAAGCTTATATTTAAATTTAAATGCACCTGGTTGTGAAAGCTAGCTCTGGGCCTGGGTGGTGCATCTGGCAAGTGCACATCACAGCAAGCAGAGGTTGCGGGTTCAAGCCCTGCCCCAGGTCAGTTCTTTCCTTCTAGATGATTCTAAATTATTTAATAAATTATTAAAATTATAATTATTAATTTAGTTAAGAGATAGTGCCTAACATCTACCTCTAGTAGCAAATTACTTAGTATTAATCAATAAGAGATAGTATTAAACCTCCCAGAGATGGTTTAGTAACTCTTCTTTACATCTCTGGGATCTGAATGCCCACCCATGTGTTTGCCATGTATGGTGTCCCGTATGCTGTGAAGGAGGATTCTGGTAGTTGAGGGGCAATATAACATTCCCAACACACTGCTTTGGTCTCTGCTTTGGATAAACAGGAGGCTCAAATCAGACTCCATTTGAGTCACTCGGCTGGTCGTTGAGTTCATTGGACCTCAGCTCTGAGTCAACTGATCGATGCAGACTGGGTGGACATGTCCCTGCTTGACAACCTTGTCATGTCAAACAAGATATGCTCTTCTTGACTGCATTGTTGAGGGTAAAGCTTCTGGGAAACCCTTGTGTGACGGTCTATGGGAATCTCCCATGTGACGGCATTCCCTTGTTGGGCCCTGTGGTGGGTGGAGTCACTGGGAGCTGAATAATAATTTTCTCAATATGGATTCTAAAAATACAAAGTGTCCATGCACAAACAAATCACCTTCAGTCAAAGCCAGCATTTCCAGTTCCGCAGCCTAATTGATAGTGCATGCAACTGGAGAAAAACCATTATCAAACTGCTCTTCTGATTCAAAAACTATTTGAATCAACTATTGGACACCCAAAGAAGGTTCAAAACTTAAGATATGGAGACCTTTTAATTGAAGTTACCTCAACTCAGCAATCTGTGAAGCTTTTGGCAATAAAAACTTTGGGAAATAGTGATATTACTGTCTCACCACATAGGAGTTTAAACTCATCACTTGGTGTGATATCTGAAATAGATCTGATATCTGAAGATGAATCATATTCAAATTGGACTGTCAGATTAAGATGTCACTGTCATTCAATGCATCTCCATTCATTGAGATGGCAAGTTGATACCAATAAAACATCTTATACTCACCTTTAATAAACTGACATTGTCACCTTCTGTTTCTGCAGAATACCTACATTATCCAGTTTGCCCATATGTTCCAAATCCACCATGGTGCTTCAAATGCCAGCATTTTGGACATTCAAAAGCATCTTGTCATGGTAAAAGTGTACGTGTACACTGTGGAAATGAAGATCATGAAAATACTGACTGTACTGCTACTCCAAACTGTGTGAACTGCAAAGGTGCCCATCATATCTACTCCCCAAAGTTCCCAACATGGCAACGAGAGAAATAGATTCAATGGGTGAAAACTACAAAGAATTTACCTTATGCAGAGGCATATCATATGGTTACATTAAATGAACCAATGAAACATATGTTGCAGTTCTGAAATCCACAAAAACATGTGGAGTTCAAACTGATACAGTCAACCCCCTATAACACTGTTGATAATTCCATTTTATATGAATTCCATGTTGTATGAGTCACTTAGATTTTACAAATACGTGTGCCAGGCTGTGAATGGCTCATGTATTTGTAAAATCTAAATGATTCGTACAACATGGAATTCATATAAAACGGAATTATCAACAGTTTTATAGGGGGTTGACTGTATTTCAGTTCACCCAAATGAATCTCTCACTCCTGTTCAAAGCCCGTATAAGGATGCTTATGAACCTCCACTATCACTCAGGAGAGAACAGTTGTCTCTCTTCTATTGCCTTAAACTGAAATCCCAGACTAAACCTTCAATTTATTCTACAGTATCAGATATCCAGCTGAAAAATTATTTGCAACCCACCCATTTAGTGTCCCTACATTTGACATAAGAATGGAGAGAGTAAGCAGCACGATTAAACTGGACAGAAGCAACATTCCACAGCTCGAGGTTGATAGTATATCACCTTGGTCAACTTCTGTGATAAAAGTAAGCTTAAAGCACTTTCCTAAGGAATCCACTCCAGACTGTGTGTATAGACAGCACTTTGCAGAAATCTAACACAGTCACAGGAATTTAATTCCTATTTACACTGATGGATCTAAATCGGATAACTACATTGGCTCAGTCTTCGTCTGCCAGTATGAAATTGGGGCAGGATAAATATCACCAAATTCTTCCATCTTCACTACAGAGCTACAGACAAGTATCCACTTAGCCTTAAAGTATATAAATAGCAAAGATCATTGTTGCTCATGATTTACAATGACTGTTAGTGCACTTCAGGCTTTCATCTCATCTGAACCTAGTTCTCACTGCATAGTGATTAAAATTCATAAATTTATTTGCCATCTTTCAGCATGCATTTCTCTATAAAATTTTGTTGGGTCCCAGGCCATGTAGATATAAGAGGGAATGAACAAGCTGAATCATCTGCAAAGTCAACAACTTCTTTACAGCATGCAATGCCTATTAAAGGACTTGAAGCTAGTAATTAAAAAACAAATAGCAAAGAGATGTCAAAACATGTGGAACACACAAGTCCACAATAAACTACACAAGATCAAATGTCTGGTAGAAAATTGGACACATAATAAGGTTTATGAAAGGAGATCTGAACTAATCCTTACCCACCTGAGGATTGGACATACTTGACTGACTCATCAATACTTTTTGAAGGGTGATGACCAACCAGTATGCCACTATTGCAACTGTACTGTAAGTGTTAAACACATACTGTGTGAATGCCCTGAATTTGAGGGTGCTGGTACAAGTCATTTTGGAAATGGAAGCTTGTTGAGAATTTTGAGCCACATCTTGACAAACTACTGAACTTTTTGAAAGTCATTAATTGTTACAAAGAGATTTGATTAATTATTTATTTATTGTAGTATAGATCCTGGAAATTTTTGTCATTGTTGTTCTGATAGTTAAATCATTACATTTTATACATATATTTATTTATTCCATGTACAAACTATACTATGTGTCATGGCGCAGTGTACCCTTTATGGCTCTTGTGCCAATAAACCCTAATAAATCAACCAACCATATCTCATCATAACTTAAATTTTTAGCACCAATCTTGCACAAGTCTTTTTCATTTTTAGTTCTTTGTCTGTATTCTCCAACATTGATTTTTTGACATGTTAATTTCTCTGCAATCATTCTGACACTGAAATGTCTATCAGTGTGCACAAGGGTCCATTCTTTCTGAATATTTTCAGATGTCCACAATGCTCATTGTCTCTGATATTCTCTCTGCCCTCCTTGAAGTGTCTCTATCATTTGAATGCTTTCAATTTTGACATTATCTCATTCACACATGCATGTTTTATTATTTTGTAGGATTATTTGCATGCTTTGTCTAGTTTCATACAGAATTTCAGATTGATTTGATGTTTCAGAAGTCACTCAGTTTTTCTGCCAATGTGTTGCTGTACTTTCAAACTTGATAAAGTGTCACTTCTCACTAGATGCTATAGAATTATTAAAAAACATATGGCAAAGATGTGAGGTTCATAACAGTAGAATAACAAGTACAAAATTATTTCGTTTTTGAGGTAAAAAATCAGTTCAAAAACTTTTGGAAAATACCTTAAAAATATATTGTATTTAAACACTTTGCAACTTAGGGTGTTTTTCAACTTACATAAAAATCATCTGAGAAAATTAGCTGCATAAGTTGAAGACTATAAAAGTTTTAGGTTTGAGTTTTGTTTATATTTTTGAAAAACATATACTATTTACTAAATTATGCGGTGAACAGACTAAATAATGTGCACACACACACACACACATGCACGCACGCATGCACACGCACGCAGGTGTGTATGTGTAATATATGTTAATGTATTAAAATGTAGTGTATAATTGTAATATTTTAAAAATAGGTATCCACCAATTCATGATTATTTTGATCAACAAGGATTTACACAGTCATCAGATAAAGCCTCACTGCTATCTGAGACTAATTATGGCTTAAGAAACCAGAGAGATTTTACTGAAGATATAAATTTCAGGTAAATGAAATGTGAATTTTTATTTTATATTTAAATAAAAACTAAAAATATAATTTGCAACCTGGCATTATGATAATGTCACAATAAATAATTGCTCGTTATTATTGTCATTTATTAATAAAATTAAGATTATTGAATATGTATATATGAAATTGATTTCTGTTTTTTATTTTGAATAACACCAAAATAGATATTTTATGTAAAGTCATAGTTATAAAGCCATTTAAGTTGTAATTGTTTTGAAAATGTTTCCTTGTTTATTCAAAATTTTAGGTTTATTGTCATACATAACAGTAAATTATAAAACAAATAGCAGATGAATTTTGGCTCAAGTGGATTCATGATTTTATATATATATATAAAATGAAATTGACAAAATTTTCTTACAGTCTGAAAAGTACAGTACATTTTAAAAAAGGATTTATTAAGTTTGTAGAAGAAACTTGTAATATTTTTCAAAGTAAAATAGACCCTTGAATAATTTTGAAACAATCTGTTTTACTTACAATCGTCAATCTTACATTTTTTCAATAGTTAAATTTCAATAATAATAACTGAAATTGAAGTAAGTTGTTACAAATCAAAATTGGCCTGAACTATTCTTAATAGAAATGTACTCGATGTTACATTTCACATGCAAAACTTATTGATAATGCATAATTTTATTTCATTATATAATATACAGTAACTTCAGTTTACCAAGTTTTTTAAAAATTTTATATTATAAATGTATGCGTTACGGAACCATTACAAAGAAGTATATTGGGTTGCGTGAGCAAAAAATTTTAGAAATGATGGTACAGATGATAACCTGATAACCTAAACAGGTCCCTATATTGTTCATTATTCAAGGACTGTGGGAGGATAATCAATGGCTCTAGGCATTGCCAAAAGAACACTCCCCAGATCATGATACTGCCACCACCAGCTTCTGTAATCCTAACTATGCAACCAAGGAATGCGGCTTCATGGTGTTTATGTCAGATTTGGACCTGGCCATCAACATGATTCAGCATGAAATGGACCTCCTTTCACTTGTCCCAGGTCCAACGGTGTCTTTCCCTTGCCCATGCAAGACATTGTTTGCAATGATTTGTGCATTTGACAGGCTAGCATGGCTATTGAACTTCAGTCAATGCAAGGTATGTTGCATGGTCATTGTCAAAACACATTTGCCTTGTTCACTAATGTACTGGTGGGTAAGCTGTTCCTCTGTGGCATTTCTTTGTTCAGATACCAGTCTTGATACAGCAGCAGCCATGTATAATTGATCCTAAACATGACCTCTGGGATCAATCACACATGGCTGGCTACTGTGTGATCTGATGGATGTTTGTGCATAATTCATATACTTGTGGTATACCCTGGACATCACGGAAATACTAGCACCAACCCTCCATGCCCCAATGATCTGTTTGTGCTCAAGTTACCTCATTTACCTATGACCAGCAAGTATTGCTTTCTGCTATACAAATCACAGGCCAACATGTCTCAACTGCAGCAAATTACAGTTGAGACATGGCAATTAAGGAAATCCCTGTACCATTTCCAAGATGATGATGGCATGGTGTTCCTAATCCAGTTCAGTGTATATACAGTATATATAAAGTGAGTGTGTATGTGTATATAAACAAATTATTTCTAACATTATGATATTAATATATTTTATATATATGTTATGGCTAAAGCTTATGAATTGGATAAAGCTAGGATTAACTGGTTAATGCTAACTTTATCCAAGTCACAAGGTGTATAAAGCTGTAATTATCCAAAAATGAATGAATGAAGCATGAACAAAACTTAAAATTCAGGCTTTGTTCATGAAATGTGGATAGAGCTGAATATAGATGTTATGTTTTTTGGGCCTGAACTTACTGTTTTTTAGTCAACATGCAGAAAAACAGAGAAATGCTACCAGGTTTGGCAATTTATTGCTATGTTATCAATACAAGCCAATTGGCAGTAAAGCAGCAATTTTTTCAATCTGGTAATTTTTTATGCCTATGATAAACTTCTCAAAAAATTTGTAAACTACATTATATTAATAAATACAATTGAAGACAAATACATCATAGGTGTCTTAAAAATTCTTACAAAGACACACACTCATTGGAAAATATACTGCAATACTACCTTTATTTGAGACATTAATATAAAAACAGATAATGTCAACTTTATCTGCATTTTTATAGATAAAGATATATTATTATATACATATATAATTTTATTATTTAGATAAAGTCAGAATTAATAGATTGCTACTTGCTTTAACTTACAAACTTGCAGGGTGAAGTTAGCATTAGCCAATTAATCCTAGTTTTATCTGATTCATGGGCTTTAGCTGTAACATATATATATAGGTACAAAATATACAGTGTGTAGTATTGGAGCCATGTTAAAAATTTTGGTATTATTTATAAATGGCAAAACTTACCAAATTTATTAATAATAAACTTTGTTAGTCATTTTACTATTTTTAAAATATTTATTTTTACTTTTAATTCTAAATATAAAATAAAATTTTATAAAACAGATTCGAAGATGAAAGAGTTTTCTTTTTTGATGAATCTTACTCTGATCAAAATTCAGAACAGAGAGGAAAATTTTGTGACATTAGTGGAAATTCCAAATCGAAACCAATAGAAATAGATTATGGACATAAACCAGCAGCATTAGTAGTTGGTGAAAATTTCTTGACGAAGTTTGGAACCTGCATTTTAAATTTGAGTGACACTGGTTTTAAACAAGGTAAATTATTGATATATATATATATATATTTTTGTATATTTTGTCTTTTTTCAGTGACTTTTATAATCAATAAATTAAAGAAAATATTGGTTTGAAAGTACAGGACTTCTTTTTATAACAATGGTGTAAACTTTGTTGAAACAAAGTTTGCATAATACAATACGTTTTAAATTTTGTTTGGGAAATAGCCACATTAGATTCTACGCTGTTGAACTTGTACTCATTTGAGTCTATTATTAATTGTGATTTTAAAGCATACAGTTAATTACTTTTAAGGATTTTATAAGGTTATTTTGGTCTTATTTGTTTATAAATTTTTTCAATATATATTACTTAATTTTATTTATAAGAACCATATTAGAATAATTTCTTTGTTGTGAATTAATTACCTGCCTTAAATTACACCTAATGAAAGAAAATAAAGCTTAAAAGAAACTTTTTATATAATCGTTATTATTATGATAATGGTGGCATCAGGGGCAGCTTTTGGCTGTTTAACATGGGAGTGTTGAGTAACAGTAGGGTAAATAGAACTGTTATTAGAAGAGAACTGAGTTATAACACTCAAATTTACATTCACTTCTGTGTTACTGTGATATTAATGTATACAGGTCATGGAGTACTCTGCACCTCTGCTCTGACTCAGTAATTAATTCATACAATGTGGCCATACTGCGTGCAGTAACACTGCTAAATAGACCAGTGCAATATCATCTCAAACATTTCATCAAATTGTGAGATGTTGGGGCTGAATGAGTGGGACTGTTCTCTGTTTGGGGGTTTGGGAGATGGCATTGCACTGTTTAACAGTGCTGTCACAGGAGGGTGTGATTTGTGTTTAAGAATTTCCCGTGACTTGTGTCTAGTATGAAGCCTTCTGTACTGTGATGTATGTGATTTCGTGAAGTCATAATGTGTCAATAGTTTTATTAAAAATTTATAAAAAGTTTTTTTATAAAGTATTTTATAAATGTTAGTCAAAAGTTAATTTTTATGTATATAAGAAAAGCTAACTAAAGAGGGGCCAATAGGTCCAAAATGCTTTTTAGCATAGGTATACATCTAAACAAATATAGATTAAATTAAATTTAAAAAGGCAGATGGTATATTTCACAATATAAAAAATACTTAGAAGAAAACTAAAATGTCTTCAAGCATCCATCCTAATCATCAGGAACAAACAGTCTTCACTTCANTGAGATTGTCACAATGTTCTCAATTTTTTTAGTGGTAATCTTGCCTCTATACATCATACTTTTCCTGTTAGCAATAGAGTTGTGCCAGTCATCGATCTAACTTTGTTTGAGGGAAGTTTTGAATCAAAGTAATGTGACATCCTTTCTAAACCTGAAGTTCCTATATAGTTAATCTCGGCCTCCTGTCCCTAAGCTTTTTACATCTGGTCTCATCTCTCATGTATCTAACTCCTTTCTCAAGATTGAGGAAGGATAGACAGACAGACATACAGACGGACAACAGTTGAAATTTATAGGTGTACAATTTTTTTAAATTGCAGTTCAATAATTTTTCTATAAATGTGATATTTATGAGAACATACTTCCCACATGATTTATACAATCTGTTGCAAAAATATAAACACTTCATTATAACATAAAATACTTAATTAATTAATACCCAGCTAGATGCTTCTTAACCTATGTGAAAACACGTTATCTTCCCAAAATCCAAAATACGAGATTATAGGCTTGCACAAAATATGATTTAAGTGGTTTTTCAGAGTGCCGAGTTTAAATATTTGGTCCATTTTTCACCAAATTTGATTTGTTGTCAGATGACCATTTGATATTTGGCTGTGAATGGAACAGTTTCTTAAAGGTAACATTTGTAGTTATATAAATCAAACACTGTAATATAATGGGTTAAAAATATGAAAAAATCTAATAATCTTAATGTTTTTTGTTATTTTTTACCCGAGCAACGCTGGGCTCATCTGCTAGTTTTCTAATAAATGGACAGTCTAAAGATTTTTAGAATAGGTTTTATTGGACAAGTGAGAAGCAATTACATATTAAAAAGGTGTCATAAAACATATATGAATGAAGAGTGTGTATCATAAATACATCCTCCCTCATTTTGAGGGAACAAAGCCAGAAGTGATTAGCGACAAGATATCAGCGGTCATATGACTTTAAGGCAGTACTGCACGTATTTTTATACTGTATATCTCATTAAAGAGCATTCAGAAATTTTGGAGCACATCTTTTCAGCTAGGTCTCTTACTGTATTTCTAGAAGGAAGTAAAAGTAACTGTGACTGATAAATATACTGTGTTTATTGATTAATCAATATAAGAGTAAAACTGATGATATAAGAATGGTAATATGTGTAAGTATAGTAAAATTATGTAATCATAAATTTTAATAGTTTCAAATGATAAGTTACATAGAACTCTTAAGCCATGAAAGAGTGGAGAGAATTGAATGCCATTAACAACCCCATGGATGATCTTGTTACTTTGGATAAGGGAACATGATGCATTAATCTTGAGGGTGCTCTCTTAAATTGATTTGACTGTAATAAATAAATCATGTTAACGTGACATTTGGAAATATAAATGGAGTCAAATCTTTAATAAAAAGTAAAATACATCACAAATGGATACGAGTTTAATTTTGCTTGCCATGTCCAATCACCAGGAACAACTATTTCCATTGCAGAGACAACCTTTCTTTAGAGGCTATGTCTCTGCACAAATATGCAAAACAGTTTAAAATGTCCGCAGGTGACAATCCCAACACAATCCCTTGTATCCATTTGTGATGTATTTTACTTCTTATTAAATTGTAATTCTGCAGCCCTTTTCTACAAAGGAGTCAAATCTGTTTTTTTAAGGTATAAAAATGATTGAATAAATCGTTTAGCAATATCTGAAGGGTGTGGATTGCGTACATTGGAGAAGAACTCTAAACAATGATCCTATATCTAATTAACTTTCCAGTAATTTCCCTCTTTATCTAATAATTCTTAGGGAACTGTTTAGAAACTGACTGTTGATATTATTATGTTATTCTTTATAGCAAATATGAATAAGTGATCAGCTCTCAAACTTTGTCATTGGATATTATTAAAATTAACATTTTTTTTTAATTTAATTTTTTCCAGCTTACATTATTTGATTAAATAAAACAAGTGACATAGATTTTAAAAATTTGTAATTTAGTGGCCATTTATTGATGATGCTATCTTAAATATTTCATTTCCCTTGTTTTAAACATTACTACATCAGTTTTTTCCCTTATTTCATAATTATATCTACAATGAACTGCTAATGTAAATTAAATGAAAGAAACAAAGAAAAAACAGAATATCTCAGATGACTATATCTTCCAAACTGAATACTGGTATCATATTTTCAATTATCACCTTGGTGATGCAGGTTATATTGTGACACAAGTTATGTGAAGGTTTTATTTCAATTTTAGAAATTTTTTGCAGTTATATGCCAGAAGGATGGATATATGCTTCTATAGATTGTACACAGGAAATTACAGTAGCACATTTGTTGAAAAATATATCTTACAGTTAGTACAGGATAGTACTTAAAAAAACGGTACAATAATATGGAAAAAACTTTTTATTTAATCAAAGTACATGTAAGAAAGTTATTTTTGGTTAGGTTTTAAAAATGATGTTGTCCAAATGTTGGCCTTTATGGGCGATGCACATTTGGAGCCATTCCTTGAAGTTTTCTTCAACTCTCAACAGCATATCTGGAGGAATTTTTGCGATTTCCTCATGAATGGCCTCCTTGAGTTCTTGTAGGGTTCAAGGGCGATGTTTAAAAACCTCTGCCTTGAGATACCCGAATAAGAAAAAGTCATGGACTCAAATCAGGAGCGAGGGGGCCATTCAACGGCTTCTTGTAAAGAGATTAGTCGACCTGGAATCATCCGGGGGCATGTTTTTGAGCAGAACATGTTGGAGACTGCTCTATCGATGCTCTGAGTGCGCCGATGTTTGCAGGTGTCCTCATGGATCTGGGATGCCCAACTGGCTTTTTAGGATTTGTAGATCCTGTTGTCCTTAAATTTTGGACCCATTTCAAAATTGTTCTCCGATCAGGAACACTTTTCTTTTGCATTTAAACGAAAACACGTGTGAAATGCCCTGTGTCACAGTCACAGATTCAGTGTTTTTGATAAAAGCCTCCATGACCTGGCCTCGTTGTTCACCCAATCACAGCATGTTGACTGCTGACAACTTTCTCATTTGCACCACCTAGTGGGACAACATCATTTTTAAAACTTAACCAAAAAAAACCTTTAATTCATCTCATAAATGTGGAACTCCATTATTCCCCACCCTGTATAATGTGCAGTTGTTAGCATATACATACAACCTTTACATACAATGAATGATCACTACGTTAGGAACTTCTGTCTAATAACGGGTTGGTCCACCTTTCTAAGTATCACAACTTGCAAACATTGGGGCATGGACTTTACCATATACCAAAATCCTCTGTTCTTAATCCATGACTGTTCTGGATCCATGCCTGCCTCAACAATTCTGTCAGTTGGTTCATATTTATTGGAAGAGTGGGTGAAACCTCACCACACATTTCAGCATATTCCAAACATAATCTATCAGGTTGCAGGATGGTGAGTTTGGGGCTAAGGTAGGGTATGGAATTCATTGTCATGTTCCTCCAACCATTTCTGAGTGAGCCTCCCCTAGTGACACAGTGTGTTATTGTGTTGAAACATGGCATTGTTATCAGGAAACATAGCCTGGAGATATGGTACAGATCAGCATTTCTCAAACTATATGTCATGACCCAATATTGGGTTACATTAAAATTTTAATGGGTCATGAAATATTTTACCTTCTGCAGAAATACTTGTAATACCTGTATTATTGAAATATTTTCTAAGAATTAAGAACAACAGATGCATCTGTTAAATACAGAAAACTTTTAATAACTTTTCTTATAATTATTATTGTCATTTAGTAATAAAATAAAGACTATTGAATATGTA